GGTGTGAGTTCCTTTCTATGTTGGGGGGCTCACCTGGGGGTGTGAGTTTCCTTCTCTGTGACGGATTCACCTTGCAGGTCTGAGTTTCTGTCTTTGTCGGTTGGGAGGGGCAGCTTGTCTACATTCGCAGGCGTCCTCACCTTCTGGACTGCCGGGCTGGGGTCGTCTGGAGTCTGCGCACTCGCTCAGAGCAGGGATCCTGGCTGGGCACTCTCTCTCCACGCACGGTGGCTGCAAGAACGAGTGTCCAGGAGAGCCTGCTGGAAGCTGCGTTGCCTGTGACAATGGAGCCTCAGGGCACAGGGTCACATGGTGTCGTGCTGACCCCAGATTTGAGGGGAGGGAGCACAGACCTCACCTCTCAGTGCTTGAGGGTTGATGGCCATGTGAGGAGGGCAGGCAGGGACGGACTGTGGTGGGCAACTCAGGGAACACAGCCCCCCGTGTCCCCCTACACCTCCCGTCTGTCAGCAGCCTATCCTTGCAACATTCCAACTCTTTTTTTCAGTGGAATTGCCAGATCCTGGTGGTCCCCATATAAATTCAGAAAGAGTTCCAAGATTGCTTGTCGGGATCGACTCCAGCAGCCTGTGCGTTCTGCTCTGCCTGTTGGCACGGAGGCCTTCAAATGAACTAGCTCACAACATTTCTCGAGAGCTTGGAAAGTGGCTTCTTCTAGGAACCTGGAGGAAGTTAGCCAGCCTCTCAGGCCAGCCTCTCAGGCCCCCTCGTTCACATCCGCTCACTGGGTCCAGGCCCCGTGCTAGGCGCGGCGCCCACAAAAGCTCCTGCCCTGAGAATCTGACGTCTTAGTGCAGGATTAAGCTCAGAGCTCCCCTCTTCCCTGTGCCTCCTCTCGAGAGTGCGAAATCTCCTGCCGACGAGATGCCGGCAGCTGGGCACTGTGGTGCCCAGGAGGGAGGGGTTGGTCTCTGGAATCCACGCCTTCCTCCTGCTGTTTGATGCAGTGGCACCGGAGAGAGCTTGCCGCCGTCTTCCGAGGTTAAAACACGTTGAGGCCAAAAAGGATCCTCTCCCCTCCTCCGTTTGTAGACCAGTGCTCGTGGCTCGCGGCTAATTAAAGCCACAGGAATTGCCAGCCTCGGGGTTCTACTTTCACGAGATCCCCCACCCCGTCCTCACTCTTGGTGAGAGACCCCACCCAGCGTGGCTCTGCCTTTCCTGGGAAGCCTGAGGCTGGGGGAGTCGTGGGGAGGAGTCGGGCACGCACGGTGGATGCAGCCATCCGTCGGCCCCCGTCCGAGAGGTGCCTCTCGTGCCCCGGCGGGATCCAGGCTCTCGGGAGCGGGCTGGTGTGTGCTCACACCACCTGCCGCCCACGGCTGCCTCGCAGGACCTGGCGGTGCTGGCCGGAGGGTCTCGGTGTTTGTGTGTAGATGCTGGGCTCTCGGTCTTCACGTTTCAGAACAGAGGACTTCTGCCTCCAGCTTTGGATCTGCATTTTCCTTTGTCTCCCCTCAGAATCGTTTCTGTTCAGAGTCAAACGTGAGACAGTGCAGACAAGACCGGAAAACAGATGCAGTGGTAGACAGGTGGATGCTGTGCACGATGGACAGACAGGCACACGGAGCAGTTTAGAAATGCGTCTTGGTCAGGTTGTTTGTGGGGGAACCTCCTCGCTGGGCAGGGTGGCAGTTCCAGAGCTGTCCTCATTCACAACTGTTTTTAGCGTGTGCTTTAGGAGAGAGACAGGAAAGGTTCACAGACAGAATTCAGCAGCATATGAAAAGAATTACACAGCCATGGCCGAGTGCGTTTCGCTCCAATCAGAAAATGAGCAAAACGTATGAAAAGACATTTCACCAGGGAGGGTGTGCAGACGGCAAAGAGCCGCGCGAGAAGGTGCTGCTCGCCAGCCTCAGGGAGCCTGCGTCAGAGCAAGGTGCCGTCAGAACGGAGTGAAAACCAAGACGCCCGGCGCTGGCGAGAGGCAGAGAAGCTGGGTCCTCACGCATCGCTGAGGGTGTGAGACGGCGCGGCCGCTCTGGAGACCGTTCGGAAGTTTCTTTAAAAACTAAACCTGTCACTGTTCTGTGACCTGGCAGTTGCCCTCCTGGGCGTCTATCCCAGTGGATCGAAGACTCTGTTCACAGAAAAGCCTGAACCTGAATGTTTGGGGTCGCCGGTACAGGAACTGACTACAGTTATATGCAGTGACCGGAAGGCTGTCCCGGGAGCCAAGGAGCAGCACGAAAGCCGGGCACAGAAGGCCGCCTCCTGCAGGTTCCGGGATCACGCTCTCGAGAGCACGCCACGGCGTCAGGATAGCTGAGGGGCTGCTGGGGGCTGTGAGGGGCGCCTCGGGTCCTCGTGCCCTGGGACGTCTGGATCTTGACGCCATCCGTGTCCCTCTCTTGGTGCGACGTTGACCTTGAGTCCTCGTGACGTTTCCACCAGAGGAAGCGGTGAAGGGCACAGACGGTCTCTACGGTTGTTTCGTACGTACAGCTGCGATGTGAATTCACACTTTTCTCAAAGTGAGTTTAATTACAAAAAAACAGCAACAAACACAAACAGACGCCTCCCCAAGCTCTTCATTAACTGCGTTGGTGGAAACGAATCACTGACTACGTATCGAGGCTGCACAAAGTGGAGGCGGATCCAGGGACCTCAGATACCGAGACTGGCTCCCGGTACTGCTCTGTGGGCCGCGGTCACTGTCTCACTGTTGTCTCCTTGTTGGTCTTGGGTGAGGCAGAAACAGCCCCGTCCGCTGGGACTTGTGGGCTGTGCTGTGAGAACGTCCACTCGGGCGGCTCTGCTGGACCTGGGCCCTCACCTGGGGGGGGTGCTGTTTCCTGCAGACGCACCCAGGTGCCCTCTCTCCAGCCGGCTCCTGCCGCTGCAAGGTGAGTGTGAGCCCTGCAGGACCTGCCCTCCTACCTCTGGACCTCAGGAGCAGAACAGAGCCAGGGCTCAGTGCTGGGAGCCCACGCCGGGCAGAGGTCAGGCAGGAGGCGGCCGGGCGGCGCAGAGGGTGGGGCGGGGAGCACTGAGAAAGGCTGAGGCAGGTGATGCTCTGAGGCTCTGCAGGGGCCGGGAACGGGTCAAGGCTACTGACAGGACATCACTGAGGCGGGGCTGCTGGCCTGGCAGCCCGGGGAGAGGGTCATCGGCCCTGGAGGAAGCCGGCTGGTGGCTCTTCTCCGCTTAGGGACACTGCTTTCCGGAGCTGAACGGAGTGAGTTGGGTGGGTGGCCTGCGGCCAGGGCAGCGGTTTCCTCACATCCACTTTGCGTGTGATTCAAGGAGTGAGTTCTTAGAAATAACTCACCTTGCATACGGGCCGTTTGATTTGAGTTCATTAAGGGGAAACATCATCTGCGACATATTCTTAGTCCAGCCTAGGGCAGCTCTGCAGTTCACCACCGAGACGCGCGTCCGGGGCCGTCTGCTGTAGCACCCATTGTCGCTCTGCTGTCCCCAAACAAGAGCAGGCATCCCTCCTCCTCCTCCTCACCCTCCTCCTCTCCCTCCTCCTCCTCCTCCTCACCCTCCTCCGCCTCCTCCTCCTCTCCCTCCTCCTCTCCCTCCTCCTCCTCACCCCCCTCCTCTCCCTCCTCCTCCTCCTCGCCCTCCTCCTCCTCTCCCTCCTCCTCCTCCTCTTCTCCCTCCTCTCCCTCGCCCTCCTCCTCTCTCTCCTCCTCCTCTCCTCCTCCTCCTTTCCCTCCTCACCCTCCTCCTCTCCCTCCTCCTCCTCTTCTCCCTCCTCCTCCTCTCCCTCCTCCTCCTCCTCGCCCTCCTCCTCCCCACCCTCCTCCTCTCCCTCCTCCTCCTCTTCTCCCTCCTCCTCCTCCTCGCCCTCCTCCTCGCCCTCCTCCTCCTCACCCTCCTCCTCTTCCTCGCCTCCCAGTGTTTGCCTGACCCAGATTCGTGGCATTTTGGTTTCCTGTCTGGACATCTCTGCGTAAAACATGTGAGATGAATACACACAGGTGTGCACACACACCTGCGCACCTGACTGTTTTGAGCTCTGAGATGCACACACACAGGTGCACACACACCTGCACACCTGTTTTGAGCTCTGAGATGCACACACACAGGTGACTGCTTTGAGCTTTCTGAGATGCACACACACAGGTGCACACACCTGCACACCTGTTTTTTGAGTTTGAGATGGCATTGGCTACACAGGTCTTGACACACACCTGCGCATCATCGACCTGACTGTTTTGAGCTCTGAGATGCACAATAGACACCACACAGGTGCACACACACACCTGCACACCTGACTGTTTTGAGCCTGAGACACACACAGGTGCACACACACCTGCACACCTGACTGTTTTGAGCTCTGAGATGTACAGGCTGCACACAGGTGCACACACCTGCACACCTGACTGTTTTGAGCTCTGAGATGCACACACACAGGTGCACACACACCTGCACACCTGACTGTTTTGAGAGCTCTGAGATGACACACACAGGTGCACACACACCTGCACACCTGTTGAGCTCTGAGATGCATTGACACACAGGTGCACACACACCCCACCTGACTGCTTTGAGCTCTGAGAGACACACACACAGGCACACACACCTGCACACCTGACTGCTTGAGCTCTGATGATTGACACACACAGGTGCGCACACACCTGCACACCTGACCTCAGGCTTGAGCTCTGAGATGCACACACACAGGTGCAATACACACCTGTGTGCACCTGACTGCTTTGAGCTCTGAGATGTGACACACAGGTGTACAAGCACACCTGCACCTGACTGCTTTTGAGCTCTGAGATGCACACACACAGGTGCGTGACACACCTGCACACCACCTCCTGTTTTGAGCTCTGAGATGCACACACAGCCAGGTGCGCACACACCCGCGACCTGACCGTTTTGAGCCTTACTGCACACACAGGTGTACACACACCTGTGCACCTGACTGTTTTGAGCTCTGAGATGCACACACACAGGTGCACACACACCTGCACACCTGACGTGTTTTGAGCTCTGTTTGTTGTTGTTTTTCACAGATCGTCGGTTGCCGAGTGAGGAGAGATCCCCCTAACTCCACCGAACGATACACACGTTGGATCAACCAGCTGACGCCCGAGCAGCTCCTGACGCAGGTACCTCGCCTGGCGCCTTGCCTGGGGCAGGTGCGCAGGTCACCTCTGGGCGCCGTCTCCTGCGTTGTGCTGTGGTCTCTTGTGTCTGTGTTGCCGTGGGCCGTGGGCCGTGGTCCTTCTGTCCTCACCTTCACTCACATGCCGTCGATCACACGGAGTGGGAGCTGAGGGTGGCCCAAGCAGGCACACACGCTAGGCTGGTCTCAGGCCGGTAGTTCAGACGGGTTCGAGTTCTGAGCTGGGAAACCCGACGGCACAAGTCCACTTACACGTGGACTGTAGAGGGTGGGAGGGCGAGCTCAGAAATCACATAGCTAGTGTTTCAGAGTCCGTGTCCCGTGTGCCCCCAGCACGTTCCAGGAGCCAGGCTGCTGCATGCGATGTGGACGCCAGGGTGTCCTCGGCAGCGGACTGTGCTGGTGTGAGACTGGACTTGGGGCCACCTGCGGTGCCCCCTCGGGTATGAGCGGCTGCCATCTGAGAGAGGGGACATGGCCGTTGCCACACGGGTGGCTTGTCCCTGCCATCCTCTGTGGGGCCGTTGGTGCCGCTGGGGGAGGCAGAGACCATCTTGTGGTCACATCATGACAGCCCCTCCCTGTACAGGCGGCCGAGGGCGGGTGTCCTGGTTGCTAGGCGGCACACTGTGAATGAGTTGACGTGCTTTTCAGTGAACTTGTGAAAATACTTAAAACAGGGCCTCAGGCAGACTGTGGCTGCTTTGCTAAGTAACGTGCACCTTGTGCAAACCGGAATGCGGTTCGGCATTGCCAGGCTGGTTCTGAACTGCAGGAATCTGGACACGTGTTGAGTTTCGGCCCAGCTCCGACCGCGGTCAGAGCGCTGTTCCCCGAGAGCCGGTTCCCCGGAGACTGCGGCAGTGAGTCCCCGTGGGGGTCAGGGTTTGTCCTGAGTGTTAGGTTTGATGCCAGATTTTTTTTAATTTTCATGTTTTTTAATTAAAGGAAACAAATGCTCCTTTATCAGTTACATACTGTATTCACTTAAAACGATTTTAAGATAGACCATTGTGTCAGTGTAGTGTGGGAAATTAAAAAAAGCGAAAGGCTGGGCACAGTGGCTCACGCCTATATGCTTTCTGTGACCATAGACCGGATTTTTATGTTTTCCGGATTTTTATGTAAATGGAGTCCTACACCCTGTGTTGACTTGAAGGATGCCGAAGTGTCCCATCCCGGGACTTTCTGTTTCATGAAGTTCTGTTTTCTCCTCCTTGTCCCCTTTCTCATCTTCCTTCCTTTTTCTTTACAGTTTGCTGGTTTGACTTGAGTTCCAAGGAAGGTCCGTACGTGGCAGTTGTTGATAAATGTCTTTAAATATCCAGATTCCTCCATCATCCTTTTCCTTGACTATGTTGTGTTCGATGTTGAGTGATTTGCTGTCGGTGCTTTCAGCAGTCAGACTTCTCTGCGGGTTGCGTCTCCCTGGTCTCATTCAACAAATTCCTCTGTCCCTGGAGCTCCTGCAAAGCAGTACTTAGAGCTAAAGGCTTTATGGGATTTACAGTGATTTGTTCATTGTCTTGCTGATGTATAGCTTTGTTGATGTATAACTGGCTACAGCAAATGGCCCCTATTTCAAATGTGCGGTTTGATCGGTTTTGACATACATCTGTACCCCGATGAGCCACCACAGTCAACGCGGTGAACATATTTATCCAACACTCCACGTGTCCTCCTGTCCACCCCGGAGCCCTCCCCACACCACACAACCACCACCCCTTCCTGCCTGCTCAGCAGTTTTACGTTTGCTGGACTTTCAGGTAAATGTGGTCGTGTGCTGTGTGCTTCACTGGTCTGGCCGCCTTCACTCAGCATGATTACTGTGCGGTCCAGACACACGGCCTCCTCACAGCAGCTGTGGTGGCCCTCGAACAGCGTGTTGGAACCACACAGGCCACGTACACGTGGGTTTTTCTCAGCAAGTGTATTGGAGAAGTTTTTGGAGACGTGTAACAATCTGAAAAAGCTTTCAGACAAACGGCATGGCCCAGGAATACTGAAAACACCAACAAAAAGATGCGTCATGAATACATAAAATATATAGAGATGCTACTGTTTTAAAATCATGTAATACCAAAAATTATACACAAATCTATTATGAAAAGTTAAAATTTATCAAAACTTACGTGCACGCAAACACTTATAGACCATATGTGGGGTCTTTCACAATTTAGAGAAATTGAACAAATGTAGGGATGCAGAAATTAATCACAGCTACCCGAAACTCACTGCAGTGCGGACTGCACGACTGCGATATTTTACAAACCCCTCCTGCCGGCACAGCCGTGAGCTCAGGTGCTGAAAACGCGGGTGAGGCCGGTCATCTCCACATGCACGGCTCCTCCCTCCAGTAAATCACAAATCACAGTGAAAAGTGATCTCTTGGCCGGGCGCGGCGGCTCACGCCCGGAATCCCAGTACTTTGGGAGGCCAAGGCGGGAGGATCACGAGGTCAGGAGTTCACAGCCTGGCCAAGATGGTGAAGCCCAGTCTCTAAATTAGCCAGGTACAGTGACAGGTGCCTGTAATCCCAGCCACTCGAGAGGCTGAGGCAGGAGAATCGCTTGAACCCAGTAGGCAGAGGTTGCAGTGAGCTTAGATCGCGCCACTGCACTCCAGCCTGGGCGACAGAGCAAGACTCCATCTCAAAAAAAAAAACCAACAACAGAAAAAAACAGTGACCTCTCACAGTTCCCACACAGTTTTAATCATGTTTAAGGCGATCCTATAAACCCTGCATGACACCCTAGGACCCATACACAGTGCCACGGATGATGCTGGAGGTGCTCCCAAAAAGCAGAGAAAAGTCATGACACTACAAGAAAAAGCGGAATTGCTTGCCGTGTGCCGTAGACTGAGGGCTGCAGCTGCGGTCACCGCCGTTTCAGACGGGTGATTCTTCTCGTTAACAGACGACGTGAACTTAGGGTATCCATAAATACAGCACTATAAATGTATATTCTCTTCCTTGTGATTTTCTTAATAACCTTTTCTCTCCTCTAGCTTACTTTATTGTAAAACTACAGCATATAGTACATATAACGTACAAAATCTGTGTTAACCAACCACTTATGTTACCAGTAAGGGCTCCCATCAACAGGAAGGTATTAGTGGTTAAGTTTTTGGGCAGTTAAAACTGATACACGGGGAAGGGGAACATCACACACCGGGGCCTGTCATGGGGAGGGGGGAGGGGGGAGGGATTGCATTGGGAGTTACACCTGATGTAAATGACGAGTTGATGGCTGCAGCACACCAACATGGCACAAGTATACATATGTAACAAACCTGCACGTTATGCACATGTACCCTAGAACTTAAAGTATAATAATAAAAAATAAAAAAATAATCCATGGATACATGGATTTTCAGCTGTGCAGGGGGTCAGTACCCCTAACCCCCGCCTTGTTGAGGGATCAACTGTGTTCTGTGGTGTGGATGTACAATTTGTTTACCCACTTAGCTGTGGATGGACCCTTGAGTTGTTCCAGTTCCTTGATATGATAAGTAAAGCTGCATTGCACATTTGTGTACAAGCCTTTGTGTGTGCATGGCCGTGATCATATGTCCGGCCTTTTCTCTTGGGAAAATACTTAGAAGTGGAAGGGCTGGTTCGTATGGTAGGGATATGTTTCACTTTTAAAGCAACTGCCAACATGTCTCCCAAATTGGTTGCACCGTTTTACATTCTCAAGCCGTGTGTGAGAGTTCAGTTCCTCCATGTCCTTGCCAACTCTTGATATGATCTTTTTAATTTTAGCTAATCTAGTAGGTATGTAGTGGTACCTCGTGGTGGTTTTAATTTGCATTTCCCAAATGGGTAATAATGTGAAGCATCTTTTCGTAGATGTATTTACCATATTTGCCATCCACGTATCTTCTCTGGTAAAGTGTCTGTTCGCATCTTTTGCCCATTTTTGTATGGAATTGTTTGCATTCTTATTGTTGAATTTTAAAAGTTGTTTATATATTCTGGACACAAGTCCTTTGTGAGACTTTGTAAATATGTTTTCTGAGTCAGTGACTTGTCTTTTCATTCTTTTAACAATGTCTTTCAAAGAGTAGAAGTTGTAATTTTTGGGTCGGGCGCAGTGGCTCACGCCTGTAATCCCAGCACTTTGGGAGGTCGAGGTGGGCAGATCATGAGGTCAGGAGATGGAGACCGTCCTGTCTAACATGATGAAACCCCGTCTCTACTAAAAATACAAAAAAGTTAGCCGGGCGTGGTGGGGGCACACCTGTAGTCCCAGCTACTTGGGAGGCTGAGGCAGGAGGATGGCGTGAACCCAGGAGGTGGAGCTTGCAGTGAGCTGAGATCACACCACTGCACTCCAGCCTGGGCTACAGAGCAAGACTCCATCTCCAAAAAAAAAAAAAAAAAAAAAAGTTGTAATTTTAGATGAAATTCAATTTATCTATTTTCCTTTTATGGATATGCTTTTTTAGATTTAATTTTTTTAAAAAATTATTGTGGGAACATAGTAAGTACATACATTTATGGGTTATGTGAGATATTTTTACATAGGCAGGCAGTGCATGATAATCACATCAGGGTAAATGGGGTATGTATCATTTCGCCTCAAGCATTTATCCTCTGTGTTACAGACAATACGATTATATTCTTTTAGTTATTTTTAAGTGTATAGTTAAACTAATTTTGAATGTAGTCACCCTGTTGTGCCAGCAAATTCTAGGTCTTATTCATTCTTTGTAACTATATATGTGTATATATATATGTGTATTACCTATTAACCCTCCCGACTTCGCTCCCACCACCACTACGCTTCCCAGCCTCTGGTAACCATCCTTTTATTCTCTATCTCCATGAGGTCAATTGTTTGAATATTTAGCTCCCACAAATAAGCGACAACATGTGAAGTTTGTCTTTCTGTGCCTGGCTTATTTCACTTAACATAATGACCCCCGACCCCCGCCAGTGCCGCCTATGTTGTTGCAAATGCCAGGATCTCATTCATA